CCCCCCCCCACCCTCTCGCACTCACTCAATCACACCCACCCAATTGCCCCATGGCACAGGAAACGCCGCGTCCCCCGCTCAAGGCGACCCGGCAGCCCCGGCATCCGGCCGCCCTCCAGCATGGCGCTGCCCATGCGCACCCGACCCAACCAACGGCCGCCCCCCACGCCGCTGGCCGACATCGTGCCACTGCTCCTGGCGCCGGAGTCGCTCCTGAGCAAGCACCAGCTCTTCCGGTACCGCGCCGCGGCCAGCCCCCTGGCCATGGGGCTCCTTTCGACCGGGCCCAACCCCTTCTGGCCGCTGCTGCCGATCGACCTGCGCCGGCCCATGATGTGGCAGCTGGTCCAGGCCAGCATCCAAAGCCGGATATCCACCATGACCCTGCAGCGCCAGCGCCCGCAGCCCCTGTCCCTCACCACCCGGCGCTGGTCCAACACCCTCCTGGGGCAGGCCCTCCTCCGGCACTATGTCGAAGAGCACCCGAGCCTGATGACCCACTCGCCCAATCAGATTGGCAGCTTCCACCGGCGCCGGCACATCCGCATGATGGCCCGGCTCATTCGCGACGCCTCGGCCTCGGTCAACCTGCTGATGATGAAGTCCCAGCCGGCCTACCTGAACCGCATGAATGTCACCCCCAGCGAGTACCAGGTCCTGGTGCGCGCGGCCCAGGACAGCGGCTTCTCCGAGCCGGTCAGCTCCATGGCCCGGCGCTTTTACCTCCCGGCCACGTCCATCCTCCAGGCCCTGAAGCACGCCTTCCCCGCCTACAAGTACATCAATCGCCAGTGGAACTTGCCCTTCGAGATCCGCAGCCAAATCCTGCTCATGGCCCGGCACTCCCTGCGCCTGGTCAGCCTGGAAGACATCGGCACCCGCCTCGGCCTGCCGACCAAGGTGGTGGGCGAGCTGCTGCTGTGGTACCTGCCCGGCACGCCGCTCCTCCACTTCAGCCGCGAGACCGTCAACTTCACCCGGCGCCCGGTGTCCGACATGAGCCAGGCCTTTGCCACCTTCCTGTCGCTGGCCCGGCAGTCGGAATACGGGGCCGCCGAGTCCAATGCGCTGCAGCTGTCCCTCGAGGATGCCTTCCTGGCCGGGCCGGCATCCTCCCCCGGGGGCAATGGCTCTTCTTCGGCAGGCCCGCGGCCGGCCTCGTGGTCGAATGCCGGCGCCTGCTCGGCGGGCGCTTCGCCGGCGGACCCGGCCTCGAGCCTGGTCCCGGCGCCGGGCTCCGGCTCCCCCTCGGCCCGCCATCAGAAGGCCCTTTCCCTGCACCTTGCCCGGCGCCGGAAGAAGGACCCTCGCAAGCATGCCGCCGCCCTGGAGCAGCAGGGGCCGCACCCGGACCACCAGCCGGACACCCCGGCCGGCAGGCTCACCATGCTGGCCAATCGCGCCGGCATTCCGCTGATCTTCGCCGAGGCCCTGCTGCTGCTGCACCTGCCGGAGCATCCGCTCCTCGAGGGGTCTCCCCTGGCCCGGGTGGCCATCCCGGTGCATGAGCGCCTCGACCGGTTGGGATCCTCGCACTTGCCGAATCCCGACCACCTGGCCCGGCGATTCCGCCTCTCGCGCAGCATGGCCAATTTGGTCCTGCTCACATACCTGCCGCTGGTGCCCGGCAACGAGGGGGCCCCCCTGGCGGACCCGGCCGGGCCGGCGCCGGAGCATTCGGACTTCGCCGGCGGGGGGCCCGGCGGCCCCTCCCCGGGCCGGCGAAGCACCATCGACGACCTGATCCGCGGCAGCGGCGTGCAGGCCATCCAAATTGCCTCGAGGCTCATGCGGCTGCCTCCCCCCGGGCCGCAGCCCTACGAGGCCGGGACCACCGGCGATCCGGACTTCGGCGCGGACCCCGCCGGCATCGAGGCCATCATGCTCGCCGCCGGGGCCGACTCCATGGGCGCCTCCACGGCCCAGGCCGCGGCCCGGGCCGCCAAAGACCTCCGGTCCCGGAAGCGCATCCGGTCCTACGCCCACCCGCAGGATGTCCCCTCGACCGACCCGCTCTACCACTCGGTCCAGCGGGCCATGCGCCTGCCGTACGACGAGCTGCAGACCCCCACCGAGCGGGCGCTCTTCCTCCTGTGGAACCGCAGCGGGGTGTCCCTCTCCCAGCGGGAGATCTCCAACCTGTCGAACCTCTACCCGATGGCCGTGCACCGGCTGGCCAAGCGCTATGCCCCGAACTTCGAGAGCCCCTACATCTACCGGCTCCCGACCGACCTGATCCGGCGCATTGTCGAGCTCGGGTCGCGCGTCGACGACCAGGGCCGGCGCCTCTTCAGCCTGACCGACCTGCAGCTCATCACCAAGGCCGATGTGGCCACCCTGCACTACAACCTCAATCGCTACATCCCGGGCTGGTCGAATCTGCCCCAGCGCTCGCGCAACTCCGGCCAGCGCCTGATCGCCGAGCAGGAGCTGTTCAAGGGCGGCCCGGTGCACACCAAGTCCCCGGTGTTGGCCCGGCGCCCGAATGTGGTCATCCGGGTGTAGGGCTGCCCGCTGGCCCGCCGGCCCGCCGGCCCGGTGCCATGCAACGGTGGACGCCCGGCCGCGAGGCTGCCCCAGGCCCCCCTCCCCATCCTTTTGCACTTGTGTTTTTATATCCCCCCCCCCCCCTGCCTCCTACCCCCGCGCTGGACGCCGCGGCTCCCCTGCTGCTCGAGGGATGCACCCGCCGACCGCCATGCCTATCCTCATTTGTCATTTCCCCCCCCCCCCCCCCTGGCGGCGGCGGCGGCGGCCTGCATCGCCCTCGCCCCGGGGTGCCATGTGCACTCCCCCAATAGAACATGTAACTCCATGTGTGCCTGTGTGATTTGCCTGCCTCCAGCAACATGTGTCGTGTGTGTGTGTGTGTGTGTGCGCGCGCGCGCATGCGTCCGGACCGCGACTCGCCCGCTCCCTGCGGGTGCCACCGTCACATCAACCGGGGCACGTTCTTTAAGATGAGGACGCTGCTTCCCGGGGCGGGGCGACGTGCCGGCATCCAGACGCCGGACAAATGCCCCTGCCACGGAGCCAGGGAAAGGGCACACGCGCGCCGGACGGGCACACGCGCGCCGGACGGGCACACACGCGCCGGATGGGCACACGAAAGCCCCCGTCCCTGGGCCGCCGGGCCAAAAACAGCGTGGGCGCCAGCGAACGCCCGACCCACCCCCCGGACCTGACCGATGTTCCACCAAAACCACCACGGAAGGGGGCACAGCACATATGTGTGCGTGCATACGCGCATGGGGGTGCTTGTCATGTATTGCTCCGGACAGGCAGGAGAAAAGGGACAAGAAGCGAAAGAACAGGAGGGGGGAGAGCCGAGAGGAACAGCTCACCACAGGGGGAGGGGAAAATCACAGGGAAAGAAGGTGAAGGGAGAGGGAGAGGACAAAGGAAAAGACGCTCGCACACACGGGGGGGGGGGGGGGGGGGCCCGGAAAAAGGCCCCCCCGGGGGGGGGGGGGGGGGGGGGGGGGCGCCGGAAAAGGGCCCCCCCGGTGGGGGAGGACCGGGCCGAGCCGCTCCTCGGTCGGCTTGGCGCCGCCGCCCTCTCCTCCTCCTCCTCACGCGGCCACATCGTCATCCTCGTCATCCGACAGGGCCACCTTGACGGTGCCCTTGCGCACGGCGGCCAGCAGACGATCGCGGAGCCACGTGCGCGCCGGCAGGGCCGCATCCGGACCGGAGTCCACATACGCCTGGAGCTGGGTGTCGGTCTCGGTGAACAGCGCAAACAGGTAGACCAAAGCCCGCTGGGCCATGGCCGCCGTCGGGGAGCTGCCCTTGGCCGAGGCGGTCACCAGGGCCGGGGCCAGGGTGTGCACGCGCTCCGGCGTCGGGCCGAAGGCCAGCTCGTTCGGGCGAAGCTTGGCCGCCAGGCGCACGGCCCCGGCCGCCGCCAGGCGCACATCATCATTGTCCGTCTGCTGGAGAACACCGGCCAGCACCGCCAGCAGGTCCTCCGCCAGGGCCCCATGCTCATGGGTCCACAGCAGCGACACGAAGGCCAGCAACTGGCCGATGGCCTGGGCCACGGCCGCGCCGGCCGGCCGCGACTGCAGCACCCCCATCAGCCCACGCAGGGTCCGATGCAGCTGCCGGAGCAGGCCCACATCGGCCACCAGCAGCCGCTGCAGCGGCTGGGCCGCCGCCATGGCCGCCGCCTCATCCGCCGCCCCCGGGGCACGCTCGGCCGCCAGCCGGCCCAGCAGATCCAGGTAGCGCTCAAGCGACTCGCGATTGGCGCCATCATCGACGGCCACCGCGGCCGCCAGCTCCTCCAGATCCTGCACCAGCGACGACAGCAGGGCATGGGCCTCCTCCGGGCCCAGGGCCCCGAGCAGGGCGGCCATGCCGTCCACCGCCGCCGTGGCCAGCCCACGACCAGCCCGACGATCGGCCACGATCTCCAGCAGCCCGGCGGCCAGGGGCTCATGCACGGCCAGGGCCACCGGGGCCGCCTGCTCGGCCGGCAGCTGGCGCAGGGCCGCCGCCGCCGCCCGGAACAGGGCCTCCCGCACCGGGGCCACCGGCTGCCGCTGGAGCTGAGCCTGAAGCTCGGTCAGCAGCAACAGCGGCCGGGTGTGGATGACGGCCACGGCCCCGACGCTCGGCACGGCCGCCGCCCGAATGGCCGCCGACCCCTCGTCACCCAGCGCACGCAGCAGCGTGGTCTGCAGCTGGGGGATGAACGGCCGCAAGGCCGGGCCCAGGTGCTTCAGCATCACATGCAGCGTGCCGAGCACGGCCACACGCACCGACTCCGCCTGCGCGGCCGGGCTCATGTCCGCCAGCAGGCGAATCAGCGCACCGGCCACCGGCAGGGTCGACGTCCGGAAGGCCTCCGGCCGAGTCAGCCGCAGCAAGTCCGCCAAGGCCAGGGCCGCCTGCTCGCGCTCCGCCGCATGGCCATTCAGCAGCGCATGCACATACAGCCCGGCCAGGGAGGACGTCCCCCGGGGCAGGTTCAGGGCGGCCACCGTGGCCCCCCCGGCCGGGGCATTGGCCGCCGCGGCCAGCACCGTCTGCCGGAGAAGATGCACATTGTCCGGGTAGTTGGCCTTCGGGGTGGCCGCCACCAGGGCATCCAGCCCGGCCAGGGCCGCCCGGGTCACCTCCTCGGCCGGGTCATTGAGACCCCGGCCCAGCAGCCGCACCAGGGCCGAGGCATTGAGCACGGCAATGCCGGCCGCCCGGCCGGCATCCCCGCCGGCCCCGGACCCGGTGCTCAGCAGCTCGGCCAGCAGATTGTGCGCGAACTCCCGCACCTCCGGCCGGTTATGCTGCACCAGCGGCCGCAAGTCCGACAGCACCACCCGCAGGGCATCGGACCCGGAATCCAACGAGGCCAACATGGCCCCGGCCGCCGGCAGCAGGGTGCCCCGCTCGGCCGGGTTGGCCACCACCAGCCCGACAATGCTGTCCAGCACCGCGGACAGATGCTGCGACAGGGCCTGCCCGGCGAAGGGAATCAACTGGCCCAGGATATGGGCCCCGGCCACGGTCAGCGGGTTGAACAGGCGCTCCATCAACAGCGGGAACACCTGCGGCCCGCGGAGGATGGCCACCTCCTTCAGGCCGCTGAGGGCCGTCCGCCGGAGGGCCGACTCCGGCTCCAGCGACTCGTCCAGCAGCGGCGCCAGCAGCTGGCTGACGATCTCCTCCAGGCACGCGCCCCCGGTGACATCCACCAGCCGGGAGAAGGCCCGCGCGGCCACCGTCCGAACTTCCTCGCACGGATCGCACAGGCCCACACGCACGCAGGCCGACAGGTCGTCCAGCACACGCAGCAGGTGATTGGTCTCCGCCTGGGCCAGGACCTCCTGCAGGGCCAGCGTGGCCCCGAGGCGCGCCTGCTCCGAGGGCACGGCCCCGGCCGCGGTGGCCATGGCGGCCGCCGCGCCGCCCGACTCCGCCAGCAGGGTGGCACTCAGCACCGGCACCATGGCCTGCAGGATGCGATCGCTGAACTTGTTCACCAGGTCCCCGAGCCCACGCACACCCAGGTGATTGAGCTCCGGGATGTCCGACGACAGCAGGCCAATCACCTGGCGGATGAGCACCGCCATCAGCTCGCCAAGCATCTGGCTGGTATTGCGCACCACCGTCTTCCACACGTGCAGCGAGGTGGACCGCACCTGGAAGTGCGTGTCACTATGCAGCAGGTACAGCGACGACATGATGGTGTCCCGGCGACTGCGGCCCAGCAACTCCAGGATGATGGCCTGGCTTTGGGCCGAGGCAATCCCATCGTTCTCCCCCACCAGCCCGGTGGTTTGGGTCTTGCCCGAGGCACCGATCGCATGGAAGAGCATGGTCCCCAGCAGGGTGACCGAGGACTGGCGAATGCGCCAGTTCTCGTTGAACAGCCCCTCCTGGAACCGCGGCAGCAGCAGCTCCGTGGCCGACTCCGAGAAGTTGGTGATCAGCATCTGCCCCGCGCGCATGGCCGTCTCGCGGACCATCTCCGACTCGTCGGCCAGCGCCTGCAGCAGCACCGGGATCAATTGGTTCAGGCTGGACTCCAACTGCGTGGTGAAGGTCGACGGCAGGTACACCAGCAAATTCATGTACCCATCGCGCACGTGCGGCAGCGGCGACCGGGCCTTCTCCAGGATGGCCGGCAGGTGGTGCTCCCGCAGCTGGGCCCCGGTGGGGTCCATGCAGTAGAGCACCTCGGCCAGGCCGTTGGCCGCGCCCGAGCGCTCCACCGCGCCCAAGCTCGACTGCGACTCCACCGTGGCATACAGCCAGGACAGGAGCCCCGGCATCTGCGGCACCGTGCGCATGGTGGTGGCCAGCCGCCCGGTGGCCGGGTCGGCGGCCGCCGCCAGGGCGTCCTCCTCGGCCGCGGCCGACGCCGCCTGCTCGTCCACGAAGGCCGTCACCAGGGTGCCCAACGCGCGGGCCGAAATCTTCCGCACCTCCGGGAAGGGATCCAGCAGGGTCACCCGCAGCCGGGCCTCCAGCTGCGGCACATACGGCAGCAAGTCCGCCGGGTCCACCAGGGCCGAAATGTTGGTGACAATCTGGCAGGAAATCCGCCGGACGTCGGACGTCGGCTCGGACAGCCCCCGGATCAGCACCGGCATCAGCAGCGCCAGCGAGGCCGAATCGATCATGTGCGCAAACACCAGCCCCAGCAGGGCCCGCAGGGCCGGCAGCGTGCCGCGCGCCGGGTCCGCCAGCGCCGGCAGCAGCAGCGGCGCCAGCGACTGCATCTCCGGATTGGTGATGCAGCTGCTGATGTGCTGCAGGGCCGCGCGCGCCGCCGCGCCCACCTTCTCATGGGCATCCACCAGCGTGTTGACCAGCGTCGGCACCAGGCTCGGCAGGAAGGACCCCAACGCACGCGGGGCCAATGTCGCCAGCAGGCCCAGCAGCTCGGCCGCCGAGGCCCGGGTACGCCACTGCCGGTCTTGCAGACCCTCATGCAGCAGCGGCAGCAGCAGCCGCACCGTGGACAGGTGGATCTGCCGCATGCAGGACTCCGACGCGGCCGACGCCGCCTGCCGGGTGATGGTCTCCGACTGGCCCAGCCCGGCCAGCATGACCGGCAGCAACTTCACCAGGTACGGGTCGAAGGACCGGCCAAACAGCCGCGACAGGGCCTCCATCAGGAAGAGCCCGGCCTGGCGAGCGCCCGTCGAGGCCTTGGCCCCGCCATGCGACTCCAGCAGGTCCACCACATGGTAGCGCTTGAGCGCCGGCAGGCCCTGGCCCCGGAGCAGCCCGGCCGCCCCGCATGCCGCACCCCGGCGCATGACATAGCTGTCGGTGGAGAAGAGCTCCCCCAGCATGCGCTCGGTGTAGGCCACACGCGTGTCGGCCGGCAGGAAGTCCGTCAGCAGGGGCAGGCACTGGGCCACGGCATACTGCACCGGCTCCGACGGCGTGGCCAGCGTGTTGAGCAGGCGCTCCACCACGGCCACCACCCGGGCCGTGGTATTCCCCTGGCCCAGGTGCACGGTCAAATGGCCGACCATGCTGACCACGGCCTCGCGCACGCGGTCCTGCTCGATGGTCCCGGCATCCGGCTCATTCAGCTGCGCATCCAGCGGGCTCATCAGCTGGTCCAGGTACCGGCCACCGTGCTCGGCAATCAGGGCCGCCATGGCGGCGATGGCCGCCTCGCGCACCCGCGCATGGATGTCCGCAAAGGCCTGGCCCACCATGAAGTGCAGCGTGTCCAGGCACTCCTCGGCCGAGGCAAAGTGCCGGGCCGACGCCTCGATCGTCTGGGCCAGCGTCACGCGCGCCTCGAAGTGGTCATGCTGCGTGGCCGCCGTGATGATCGGCCGGCCGAACTTGTCCAGCTCCGGCACCGAGGCCCGGATGCGAGTGGCAAACTCCTCCAGCAGGTGCTTCAGAGCCCGGGCCGAGATGGCGGTCGGCGCGCGGCCGGTCGCCGCCCCGCCGGCCGCCTGGTCCAGGGCCGCCCGCACGGCCGCGATGCCGGAAGCCCGGACATCCGCATGCCGCGACACCAGGTACCCCAGCAGATGCGGCAGGAAGTCCTCATCCAGCTGGCCCGGGCGGTGGGTCAACGCGGCCGACGCCTCGGCCGCCGCCCGGATGTGCTCCTGGAAGTTGGTGGCCGTCTGGTCGTGGCGCAGTAGCCACAGGGCATAGGTCAGGCGCTGGTCCAGATCCCGGACCACCGCCTCGGGCCCGGTGCCCGGGCCCGGCGCCGGCAGGACATTGAACGCCCGGGCCATGGCCAGCCGGGCAATGGCCTCCGGCGAGGCGGCCAGCCCCAGCAGGGTGCCATACTCCAGGGGGCTGACATTGCCGGCGGCACTCAGCTGCCGGGCCACCACATTCAGCGAGTCCAGCGCCAAGTGCGAGGCATCGGTCCGGCTGTTGAGCACCCCGGCCAGGGCCAGGATCAGGTCATTGCGCGGCAGCAGCGGATCATCCAGCAGCACCGCATGCAGGCTCACCAAATCCGCCACAATCGACTGCGTGGTGACATAGTCGGCGACGGCCTTGCGGGCGGCGCGCACGCGCGCCGGCACCGCCTCCCCGCCCTCCTCGGTGGTCTCCTCGGCGGCGGCGGCGGCCGCGGCCGCGGCGGCCGCCTTGGCCTTGGCACCGCGCAGCGGCTTCAACACCGCCCCGGTCGACGGGTCGGTGTCCATGAAGCCCGGCGTGTCCAGCAGCGCCGTCGTCAGGGCATCCACCGCGGCCGCCTGCGGGAAGTCCACCACCGCCCGCAGAAGCGGCACGATGAAGGAGAAGGCCGGCCCCGGCAGCGGCCCGGACGTCGACAGCGGATCATACAGGGCCTCCATCAGCTCGGCCAGCTGGGCAAAGTCCAGGGCCGAGGCCCCGGCCTCGGCCGGCCGGCAATCCAGGGCCTTGAGCACCGCCGCCGGCAGGTGGTCAATCTGCCCGAAGGGCGACGGCAGGCACAGCGACAGCCGCATGAAGGTGTCGATGGCCTTGTCGGACAGCGGCCCAAAGGCAATGGCCGGCCGCAGCACCCGGGCAATGACATCCGGAATGCGCAGCGCCACGATCTCCGGGCCCCGGGCCAGGAGCTCCCGCACCAGGTCCAGGAACGAGTCGGCCAGCAGGATGTCACCGGTGACACGCGTGCGCACCGCCTGCTCGGCCTGGCGCTGGGCCTCGATGGCCTCGAGCTCGGCCTTGGAAGGCCCGGCCCCGGCGCCCGGGCGCCGAGCCCCCCCGGCCGGGGCCCGGGCCGACCCGCCGCTCGGGCCCGACCCCTCCACCGGGGCCGGCGCCCGGAACAGCTGCCCCACCGGGGTCCGGTAGATGCCCAGGTCCTCCGGGGTCAGGGTCTCCGCCAGCCGCGGCAGCCCATCGGCAAAGACCAGCACCGCGTCCAGCGTGTCGGCCGGGCACAGCAGCGCCAGCTCGGCCAGCGCCTCATGCACCGAGGCACGCAGGTCCGCCTCCGGGCTGGCCAGACGCTCCGGGCTCAGCAGCCGGGCCACGATGGCCGGCAGGGCGGCCGCCGCCAGGGCCTCCGGCCCGGCCGCCACCTCGTCCCCGGCCCCGGCACCGGCACCGAGGTGCTTCAGCAGCCGGGTCCAGAAGCGCCGGCGCGGCTCGCCGGCCGCCATCACCCGCGGATGGTGCGCCAGGTCGCACGACCGGTCCGCAAAGTGCACCAGCCCCGGGAGCCCGGCCTCGGCGCGGGCCGCCAGCCGGGCCACCTGCGCCAGCAGGGCCGCCCCGCCATGGACCGTCACCTCGCCGGACTCCACCAGGGCACGGAGGCTGGCCAGCAGGGCCCCGGCATGGGCCGGCCCGGGCAGGGCCGCCAGGCCCCCGGCGCGCAGAGCCCGCCGGGCCTCCGCCGGCCCGGCCACCGCCACACGCACAAACGAGTCGCACAGATGCCCGGCCACCTCGGCCGACAGGGGGGAGGGGCCCCCCTCCTGGCCGGTGGCCAGCAGCCGCACCACCACCTCCAGCAGGGTGGTGGCCTGCGAGCCGGTCAGCCGATCCAGCATGCGCGTCGACAGCAGCGGCGCCGTGGCCTTCGACGAGCAGGTCAGCAGCAGCTCCGGATGCCGGGCCACCAGCGGCTCCAGCAAGTCCACCGGGGCCAGGGCCGCCAGCCGAGCCAGCAGCAGGAACTCCCCGGGCCCGGCGGCACCGGCGATGGCGGCCGCAGCCGCCTCCGGCAGCAGGTCCCCCAGCCGCGGCAGAAGCCCCTCGGCCAGGGCCGGCCCCAGCATGCCGGAGGACCCGGCCACCGCATGGGCCAGGGCCACCAGGGCCGGCTCGCGCCCGGTCGACTTGCTCCCCTTGAGGGCCGTCTGGCAGGCGGTCACAAACCCCGGCAACAGATCCGACCCCAGGAGCCCCTGCAGGCGCCCGGCCACATGCAGCAGCCCGGCCACCATGGCCTCATTGCGCTCCTTCTCCAGGAGCCCCAGCACGTCGGTCAGCAGGCCGCGCGCCAGGGCCGCCGGCTGCTCGCTGCCCGAGGACAGGGCCTCCGGCACCAGGGCCTCCATGGCCTCCAGGGCCGCCTGCCGATGCTGCACCGAGGTCAGCTTGTCGGCCCCGGCGCCGGTCAGCATGGCCAGCAGGGTGGCGGCCAGGCCGAGCGGCCGGTCGGCCGCCGCCCACCGGGCCAGCGTCCGCATCAGCTGCAGGCCCAGCTGCCGGGCGTTGGCGCTGCTGGACCGGACGGTCGACAGCAGGGCGCCCTGGCCCTGGGTGCTGAGCAGCAGCCCGGCCTCCACACCGGCGTGCATGAACACCAGGCTGACAACTGCCGGCGCCGGGCCAGGCAGAGTCGCGAGCGCGGCAGGACGACACGCACACGCACACACGCACACGCACACGCACACGCACACACGCACACACGCACATCCCCGCCGGCGGAGCGAGGGCCGGCCAGGGTGACGCGGTGGCAAGCCACAACCGCGCAGGGGCCACACGCGAAATCGACGCCAAAGCCACAGGGTCAGGGACACACCACGCGTGCGATGAGCGGGCAGGGCAAAATGCAGGAGGCCCATATGCCGGCCGGCCTGGTGGCCGGGCGGCTGGCCGAACACGTACCGTTGGCCACGGGCTCCACCGTGCGGTAGAGGGCCATGCCGAGCGGCGCGGCCAGGGCCTCGGCGCGCGCCTCATCCACCAGGGCAAAGAGCGGGACAAACGGCCGGACCAGGTAGTCCGGCAGGGCCACACGCGTGGCCAGCGTGTGCTTGGCAAACACCTGCATCAGCAGCTTGTCGATGAGGGCCGTGCGAGCCGCGGCCGCGGCCTCATCCTTGGGCGGCTGCCCGGCGCACAGGACTCGGAAGGCCTCGCCGGCCAGGGCGGCCGACACGGCGCTCCCCGGCGACGCGGCGCCCAGGCGGACCACCGCGTCGGCCAGCGCCGGCACCAGGGCCGTGGCAGACGGCGCCGCCGCCAGCGGGGCCGCCATCAGCCGGAAGGCACGCCGCGCCGCCGCCAAACCATCGGACGCCAGCAGCTCGCCGTGCACCTTGGCCTGCAGCGCCAGCAGGGCACTCAGGGAGGCCGCGCCCTCGGCCGACGCCAGGAAGGCCGGCACCCAGCCGAGCGGCGCCGCCAGCCAACGGACCAGCAGGAGGACCTGCCGCGCGCTGACCGTGCTGTGGCGCCAAATGCACCGGCGCACCGGGAAGGGCGGAGCGGAAAAGCCGGAAGGGGGAGGCACGGCCACAGCGAGCGTTGTCAGTGTCAGATGGACAAGGCCGAGCGCGGGAATCGAGGCAACACATGCGCAGGAGGCCCCCCACGCACCCGGGCTTGAAGGGGCCGTTGAAGAGGCGCGGCAGGAAGGCAACCAGCAGGTCCACATTGGCCGTGGGGTTGATCAGCACCAGCTCCTTGACCGTGCCCAGCAGGGCATTCTGCGACCGGCGATCCGCGTAATCCGCCAGCACCGAGGCCAGCAGGCTCAGCAGGGCATTGGCCACGCGCCCGGTGGGCTCTGCTCGCCGGACGAAGGAGGGGGGGGGGGGG